GTTTCCTATTTATCTCGATAAATGTTCAATTAATAATTTCTGCTTGGATTTGATTCATATTAGTAAGAAATTTCTATAAATTATAATTCTAATCTATCCTTGATAAAAACAAACCTCATATCTTTTTGTATCATATCGAGATTTTTTATAACAAAATGTTATAACAGGTACAATGCGGTAAATATTTATTCGATCAATTAGAAAAAAATTAATCTAATTATGATTCGGTATAGAAACTGTCAAATATACAACCTTAAAATATAACATCTTAACTGTTTGCATCAAATTAATTCTATCAAAACAATGGAATAAGGTTAGTAAAATGAACCATGCTAACTTTTCACTTTATGACTCTCTTACACAACACAATAAATTCTCTCTCTTCAACTATTTCATAGGGATGTGAATAAGGTTGTTGATAATGAGAAAAATTAAAAATGACGTTGATAAATTAAATTTTGTGATTTAACATGAAAAATATGTTTATTACACAAACTGATAGTAGTCATTACAAAGAACACTTGAATCACTGTAGTATTTGAACCAACACACACACACACACTCCTAATTACCATTTCAGAATTTTGTCACCTGACTTGATTCTCATCAAATCGAATTCTATGCTACCAACTGTGTTTTGTCATATTTTTCAGTAATTCCATATTTTTCAAAAAGGTAATCTTGGTGACTTTCAAGTAAGATTAGATTATCTCAGTTTTCTAGATTGAAATGTATGATGTTGAATAGATGGTAGATGCTTTTTAATCAACTCAGGCAATCTAAAATCAATGATCTATCTATATTTGTTCAACTAAAGTAACATTACATCAACCCTTTTCGTAGTTTTTTGTATGTCTTACTTATGAATTTGTATAACACTTGGCTACTATGAAGCAAAGACAAAATTCATGAAAAATTCATTTGTAATATTTGAGTAGGGTTCTACTGTGCTAGGTGGAAATGCAAAATACTGCTGCTCCGTTGGCCAGACGCTATCAGCAAGAACCTACTGTGGGAGATAAAAAAAATCAGATTCCTACGGAAGAAGAAATCAAGAGGAAGAGTTTGAAGTGGATATGGCACGCATTAAGGGAAGCAGCCAACTTCATTAAAAGACAAGCCATCACATGGAACCCTTAAGGTAAAAGGAAAAGAGAAAGACGAGAAAACATATTACACTGAGAAATGCAGACAGATATGAGAAAAATTAACAAAAATTGGACAGAATTGGAAAGGAAGGCTCACAACAGACTAAGTTAGAGTATATTGGTCAGTGGCCTATGCTACATAGGGGTTAACAGGTGTAAGTAAGTAAGTAAGTAAGTAAGTAAGTAATATTTAAAAACAAGACGATCGTCTTCGATAAAATCTTTATCAAGCTCTACACTTATAAATCCAATATCAGTATTATTACAGTAGACAGAATAATAAAGCTCAAACAATCAGTGTTATAAATAGAAAATTTCAAGTCAGTTGAGTCGTAAATGCCACAAATTACTACCAAAACAAAATAACGTCATTGACAGTTTTAAGCAAAGGTAGTTCAGAAAGGTTAGAAAAATTACGTGCCCCAAGTGAATTCTAATACAGAGATTAAAATCGTGTGTGCAAAAATTTACACAGAATCGAAACCGAATAGAATGAAACGTGTATCCGCTTACAAAATACGAATTGTTATGTCGCAGTTGTTGTATTAATAACATAAGAATGATTATAAATCAGAAAATCATGTAAAGTAATAAATATATAAATGTATAACTTAGGGTAAGATGTTTTGTAGGGAAACACAAATCATAATGAAGGAGAATGGACAAAAAAGGAATCAGTTTTGAAGCCATTCTAATGTCAATTAGGTTAAGCAAAGAGGTTTGTATGTTTCGTTTTTGCATACATAAAGTAGTTTGCTTTGATCTAATACCGACTTCTTCAGCTATATGAAGTTAGAATGTTATTTAGTTTTTTGATAAGTTATTGAGAACCTGTTCTATAACTGGCATCTTCCGTTTTACTGTTGTGTACATAATCAATTAAGTGGAAAAAATGACACTACTAACAGATTTCATGTCGACTTTTCTAATTACGCGGGTAAGTGTTCACACAAGTACAGGTATCAAAAGAAAACTTGTCACTACGTAGTATAAACAAAGTTTCAGTATGAAATAACTTACTAATGTATGGAAGGAGAATCTGTTACAGAGATGAAAACAATGCAAAACTTAGTACATTGATAAGTGGCTGCTGTTTGTAATCACTATTTTTTTAAATAATAATTGTTATTTGACGTGAATATTCATGAAACATTAATCATTAAGAGAGATAAATTAGATTGAGCGAGAAGGTGAGATAAATGAAGAAAATTTAAGAAAGAAATACTCGCAACAGCTAATACCCAATGCAAATATTGATGGGAAATAAGTCTGACTGATTGAAAATAAAATAATTGATATAATTCAGATTTATTTATACAGCTTTCTGGTTAATGCACATTCATTATTTTAAATCTACCATTACACTATTATCGGAATGAAGGATTTTTCACGTACATCGAAATTTAATTTAATTTTTTTAAAAAAAAACCAAACACAACTTTATATCGATATACGAACATAGACTTCAAATGATTTATTTGACTTAAATGATCATTTTGATCGATACGGTGAGAATAAATTAAAATTCAGTTTTTTTCTTTTTAATTAATGAATGTTCTACAAAATCAACAATCTACAGTCATTTACGCTTTAAATGCATTAAAGAGACTTATTTTTGTACTAAACATTTAGCGCGCAAGTGTACATTTTTTACTGTGAAACGAAATCAGTTCCCTGACTATCTATTTAGTTTAATATGCATCAGTTGAGGGTCCTGACTCCACCTAAAGCTATTATGCGGTTATTGCTGATCCCAAGCCCGGAAATAAGAGGGTTTGGCATGGGGATGGCCATCCGAACCCGTAGTAAACCAACTCGCTGAAGAAACGCTAACCAGAAATTGAAAGTCTTCAATAAACAGTTTAGTTGTTTGTATTAAATATTGCCGGGTTATACTGATAAACTCTTCGGCAGAACATATACAATATCCATCAAAAATACTTTTTTTGTTATCCTATTTTAATATAGGTTATTATTTTGCCTCCAGCACCCCAGATAATTGGTTTTAAAGTTCTATATTCTACAAAATTCATGACAATTCTTATTTTATCTCATATGAATTTTAGCTAGATAAGATCACTCATGCGCTATATTGTTTAAGGTCGGTTATTCAACTAATCAAAGATGGTAAGACAATATTATTTTTCAAATTCACTTTAACATTTGGTGTTTCCGTTTTTTTTACAACTATATTATGCATTAGAGTGAATGTTAATTACTTCGGGGAACAGCTTTGCAGAGTTTTCATTGATTAGGTTGGAGTAATATTATTCGAACACCTTGATACAGGTTATGAATGACATGATTAGTAAAAATGTTGAAACGAGTAATATTTATAAATAGTTTGACATTTCTTCTCCCGGTTCATCCTGATAATCAGTTAAGAATAGATGTGTTTACTTCATTTCATTTTTCATATTTTTTGTTCAGTTGTTTTTTTTTTTAATTAATGTACAATTTGTTTTTTATTGATGACAGTCACAGATAAATGCCAGCAAGCATACTTTCTACTGAATGACTGAAATAGTGATTAGTGAAATAAATATATGAATTGATCAAGTTATAAATTAACACTGTTAGATACTTGCTCAGTGGTTCAGAGTTTAGGCGTTCGCGCATAAGACCGAAGGTCCCGGGTTCGAATTCTGCGGGGTGCAGGATTCGAACTGCTAATGAGTCCCATACTAGGACGAAACGGCTGTCCAGTGCCTCCAGGTTTCTAATAGTGGTCTAACATTGATCGATTTATGGTTTCAAAATGTGTAAATAAATATATGAAAATTCTTTATATTTCTTTCACATACATTTTTTACGACTGCATCAACAGAATTAATACTTCAAGTTGTATAGATGAATTCAAAAACATATCATTACTTCGATATGTAGAAAAAATTACCATGAGTCAGTGCAATGCATGGCCTTGGATTGTGGCACAGAATAATCAGTACATGTAACTTGGTGCCGTAATAATGTTGTTACCTGGAAGTCGGTAATAAAATTACATCATCTATTTCTATTCAAACATGAATTATTACATAATAACCCCTTATCAATAACACATTGATTGATTCGTAGGTTAAATTATTTAACTGGTTGACATTAGATCAAATATGAGTAACCTTATTTAAAATTTTTTTTCTGTTCGTGGTTCAATAGAATTTATTCATTTAGGCAAAGTATTATATTTCTAAGACAAGCAACTCCTATACATGTACACAGGAATGTTTATTATTCAAGTACTGTTTATTATAAGAGAAATAAAAAAGAATGGGAAATACAATTAACCAATAATTAATTGTACACATTTTACATAGGAAAGTGATTGGAATTACAGTAAAAACAATAAAACAAACAATTTATTTCCTCTTAATGATACTGTTCATTTATACAATATTATTTCTGATAAAGTTATTTCTTTAGTATATTTATTATTCAGTTATCCAGTTCATGTATTAATTAACATTGGTTAAAATATAAATTTTCAGAAACATTTTATTCAATAAAAATCATACATTGATAATTTTTATATTGAACTATCAAAAGAAAGGGTAAAGAATAAATAAATTGGTTTTTTTTAATAATTGTATATTAATTGGATTAATTTTCGTAATTTTTTGTAGTTAATTATGAAATGAATCGATAAAAACAAGTAACACACAGTAAATTTCTACTAGTAATAAAATGATTTAATATTTTAACATAATATGGTGTTTTTTGTTTATTTAGAAATTATAATTTAAGCTTTTTGTAATAAACATGTGGATAAGTTTCATTTTAACATTGAATAATAAACTTAATTTACAATCAATAGACTGTACACATTGAACACTTTGAATTGTATTCAAACATTTTGTTTCATACTAGTTGAGCTTGTTTTGAAAAAAAATTATCGCATGAAATTTTAATTAGGAAATTCATATCTGATCATCAATCTAATTACAGGAAAATATAATACAAAAAAAATAATAAATAATAATATTTCACAAATAGTACAATACAATACAAAAAAATCATGAAAACAAACAAACAAACAAACACACACACACACAAAGCTAATTGACTTGAGATATAATAACATGTCAGCTTTCATAGTGCAGTCACAGTTTGTTTGGTATAGTCAATACTGCGTGGATTAATTTTCTCTTGTTTTTTTATACGTACAAATAATGATTCATTGTCACGAAATGAACTGTCATTATTTTCACTATTTTGCATCATTGTATCATCATCACCATAACTATGATTATATAAATCAGAACTGGGTACACTTAAATTAGGCGATTCAATGGAACCAAGTGAAATGGTCGGTGAAAATGATGATGTGCAACGATGATGAGTGCATTGTGATGATGTGTTATTATTATTATTATTATGCAATGGTATATATTTAGACAAATTATTATTTATTATTGTTGACGTTTTGCCAAACTGATGCTGGCTAGATTCATGTGATAGTTGATTGAATTGAATTGAATGTTGACCTTTTGCATATCGATCAGTTTCTGGTATTTTCATTTCATGATAAGTGCTAGTTGTAGGATTATATCTACCACCATTATTGGTAAAGTTGTGCATTGTTATAGTGGAAATTGTGTTTCTTGTTGATGTGATTAATGTAGATGATGTTTTTTTAATGATTGTATAATTACTCTCATCTTCAGTGGTAACATTATCTTCATCACAATAGACTGAATTAATAAGTGATAAACGATTAGGTATATTGTCTAATAATAATGGTGTAGGTGTAGGGAAATTATTATTATTATTATTGTTATTATTGGATAAATAATCATTTTGTTTTTGATTTAAATAATTCATAAATAATGTGTTAACATAAGCAGGTGACTGTTTATCATTGACTGTATCTGTCGATGCTCTTGTTATTGATGGCGTAGTTGTTATAACTGATGGGATAACATAATCACTGACGATAGGGTTACAAATCACTTGAACTGACTGAGTAATTGATGAATTACTTCGAGATGGCTCATTGAAAAATTGATTATCTATTTTAAAAAAATGCATTGTTTTAACGATAATATGAAAATTATTTGAGAACAATTGAAAAAGGGCTGTAGGGCTAAGTGAACCTACGCTGAGACCTTCAAAAAGTGCTCAGTCAATTAGAAGTTCATCTGTGAGTAGAACGTTCGTAGGCTGATGATTTAATAATCCATATTTTCAAGTCAAGATGATATTTGTTTGTTTAGTAAATAGTTTAGCATTCAATTCTATTACATTTTTCATGCTTTAAAAGTTTTGGAAAGATATGTAATGATAGCTTATTTTGCTAACTAAATAAAATTGCAGTTTTATTTTAAATATATTCTCATTATTTGTATATTTTATTTCGAAATTACAGAAAACAGTCAGTGAAATGAATTTTTTGTTTTGAGGTCTCTGCTCTTTGTTCTTAGTCATTAGTTGATCATTAATTTAATTAATGTTTGGAGTGGACTTTAAAACTCGTTTACATTATATACTTACAAAGGACTATTGACATTTTCACTCTGAATACTACTTTGTAATACACTATATAATTAAGTCACAAATTTTACTATTTTTTTCAAAGAGAATAGTGTATAAAGTCATATTTTTAGTCGAAGCTGTTCTCATCATTTCGAGATTGATATTTTGACGGAAAACAGCAACGTAAATACCTCGTCATCTGTTAATGTAATCATCGTGAGATGAAATATTTGAATATTCAATTGAAAGGCAAATTAAAATGTCACAGCCTTATCTTTCGATCCTGCCTGAAGCCCTTATAGGGTCATCGCCTGTCCCAAACAAGAGGATTGGGCATGGAGTTAGCAACCATGTCCCGTTGAAAACCAACTTGCTAAAAAACGCTAACCAGAAAAGTAATCCAAACTATTAGAACTTCGCCCTGGGAGTTGGAAGGTTTTCATTTAGAAGAGTTATGAAATTTCATGATGAAAGCGGAGTTCTTTCAGAAGTCACGAGACCGATGTAACTTCTGACAACCAGAACTACATGTCGACTAACGATAACAACTAAGATGGTGAAAATCTATTTCATGGGAAACTGTTGTCAGTCGTGCAGAAGTAACCAGCAAGGGATCGACAGTTCTGTTAAGAAAACTAAAAGCCAATGGAGAAATCAAGATCCTCCAATACAGCACGACATGCGTCAATCAAGTCATACTTGATGTAGAAGTTCTAGATGATGTGGGAAACCTTACATATCTGAGCAGCATCATTGATTAAGGAGGTCGATCTGATGCACATGTAAAGGCATGGACTCGAAAACCAAGGGTAGTATTTCTAAAATTAACGAACATTTGGAACGCGAAAAAACCGCCAGACGGCACCAATGTCATAATATTCGATACACATGTTAAGACGTTTCTACTACGTAAACGAACACTTGAAGAACTACAAAGCCATCACCCGGAAGATACAAGTGTTTATCAACTGCGTTAAGAGGCGAACGGAGAAGAGGTAGATCAGAGAAAATATTACGCCGGAAATCGGAGACAGACATGAAAAGAATGAATAAAAGTTGGCTAGAACTGGAAAGGAGTGCCAAGAACAGAATTGAGTGGAGAATATTGTTTGGCGACCTATACTGCAGCAAGAGTAACATGATTAAGTAAGTAAGTAAGTAAGCCTTATCTTTTGAAAATCAAACAATTTTCTTTTTTTATGTTAAAATATTAATTAAGCAAAAGTATTTTTGTAACAGAAGAAATCAGTGGGATGCAGTTCATTCTCATAGCATGCATATAATGATGAAATAATGAAAAAAATTAACTTACAAAGATGTTGAATTATCTAATTCAGAATCTGTAAAAAAAATTGTGTATGTCTTATGGGTTAGTGAAATTATTAGCTTATATAATTCTCTTTGATAGTACACAGTGATTTTGAAACAACTTTTGTACTGCGTTACAAATCAGGTGGATAAATTCTGACAGAAAAAATATCTACAGAATCATCTTTATGATAAAAGTATGAATTCCTAACACAGAATGATAAATTAACATATAATTATGCTAAAAGCTGGATGGCTTTGATAATTCATGCACAACTTGATTGTTTTATATAAATTTGTAAATTTCTGTTAAAGTTTCAAATATTTTAGTTTTTTTAACATCATATGAGTATTTGAGTATTGAACATTGATAAAAAAAATAACAGGAATATTTATCTCAAATTTTTGCTTCATTTCCAGTTGTTACAGCATTGATCCTACTGTATTACAAACAAATCAACGTTTATTGAACATCCGTGTGAAATCGATATAAAAGTCGATATTTAAAAAAAAGAACAAGTCTATTCAAGTAAACAATTAAAAAGGTGAACACGTAAAATGAAAGACAAAAAAGAAACCTTTTTAAAAATTCAATTATTTTTTCTTTAGATTGACCAGTAATTATTAGTTATTTTTAACTAACTAACTGTAACTTATAGATGAATTGATTTTGTTATCATGTATTTTTTTAGAAACGAAGAATTTTCAATCACTTTTATTTTTTGTTACTATTGTTGTTGTTTACACTTGATAAGTGGTTATTTGTTTGTTTGTTTTATTTCCTGACACAAGCTTTCTTGTCATGATTGTTTAAATTCAGTGTCCGGAAATGAGTGAAATTTTAAACAAAAAATAATAGTTCTTTAAATATTCTTCACGATTGAATATGAAATAAGAGAAACTAAAAATTCATTGAAAATCACAGTTGTGAATGTATGTTTTACTGAAATGAAATTGATTAAAGATTGTTTACAAGTGTATTTTGCACGTGAAAAGGCCTATATATAAAAAAAAGTTTATTAGATTGTATTTAGATAACTACTATATTACTTGTAAACATGAAGCTAATAAGTAATATATGGACTAACTATTTAAAGTATTTGAATATAAGAAATTTGATTCTGTAATGAATTTTAAAGGTAAGAACGATAAGAGATATGAATTATTTTCTAACATAAATTCAAGCAATTTCTTTTTCCCTTTGTAAAAATTCTTTACATAAAACGACTCTGAGGTTATTTTCTCTTAATCTCTGCTAATTTACTTTTAATGGATGACGTCAGTTTTAGACGCCACAGTATGATCTTAATATGGTTTGTCCTCTTTTAACTTACAGTCAAGGAAAAATAAATTGTTCTCATTATTATGACTGTTATTAATAATTATTCTCAGATTAAATAATCAAGATTTATTCGCTTTTGTAAGTAATCGTTTAGTTATAAGTTTTGTGTCTACACATTTTTCACAAAAGTCGACAACATTTTGTTTGGAATTCTTCGAATTCCTTGTTAGATATAGGGGGTATCGTTCAAAAATATAGCGCGGGTATTGTTCATGTCGACCAATATGATAATGTTCTTAAATTTGTCTTTCACGTAAATGATCTAATCTTCTTATCTCTCAAAATTATGAATAACAGTTATTCGTTGTCATAAATCTCACATTACAAATTAGTATGCGATTTATTCTCACATTTTTCTGATTGATGATATTTATATCTTACCTTTCTACTGAGTGCTTATTCTACATACTAGAAGCAAGTGAAGCATAGGTTGGATTTATTGATTTTTACCATAATTCCCCCAAGACTAGTTTAACAGCATTATGAAACTTGTTTGCAAAGGATACCTTCAGGTAGTATACATTGTATGCACGTCGTTTTAGTGTATTGATTTTTTAAAAAAACAATGTATCGCAAACCGATGTATTATTGTTTGAAGACTTTATGAAAAAGCAAATGATTAGTATTTGTAACAGTGTGATTGTTAAACGCCTTTTGGATAATTGGCGTGAAGTGAATGTTAGCAATACATGTAAAATTAATTAACAGACAAGAAACATCAGTATTGCTTCGCTTTGAAGAGGTAATTTCCATCATACTTTACCGACCAGACCTTAGTTATATGGAAGGAAAGTGTGGTGTTAGCCTTTTAATGTCATGGTGATTGAATGTGTTTATAGTGATTGTTATTAATTTGAATTTCTAATATTTTTAAACCTCATCCTTAAACTTCATTTTTGTTCTTATTATTTAATTTTCATTGGAACTTTTTTCTCAATAAAATACTGTATTTTTTTTGTAATGACGAGAACGATAATATTAAAGAATTAAAGAATTAAATACTTATTATCGGTCACTATAGTGAAGAACATATTTGTTGGTCTAATACACCTTCAATTTTAGTGCAATTATTAACTCACTAATATAGGAACTTGTTACTGTGTGATTACTTAACACTAAACATTAACAAAGACAAGGGAGGAGAACAAAATATTAGCTTAGACAAGCTTGAATGATGCTATTTTCTGTTAGCTAAATTGTTGACCTGTGCAATGTTCATTATCCTTCATAGAAAAACCCATTAGAAATAATCTTAATAAAAAGAAACATGAACTATTGCAATTTATAGATTAATGATGAAAATGTTTCTGTTTATAAAATGTTAAAGTCAATATAATCATATATTTTTGATTATAAAGATAATTTGTTATATAGTCAAATATTTATGCATAATTCAAATCACGCCGAGAAATAGAGAAAGATATGAGAGGAATGAACAAACCTTGGACAGAACTAGAGAGGGAAGCCCAGGACAGAGTTGGTTGGAGGAAACTGGTGGGCGGCCTATGCTCCATCGGGGGTAACAGGCGTAAGTAAGTAAGTAAGTGATTTATGCATAATTTACCACTATATATATATATATATATATATATATATATATATATATATATATATAAGCATTTTGTTAAAATAATTAATATCACAATCTTACCTATTTTCAAACAATTAGTATTTGTTACAGTAGATTGTGTTGTATTAATTGGACTAGCTAATATTCCTTTATCTGAATCTGTTTGTAGACCAGTTTTTGTGCTACTGCTTACAGTTAAACTAGTATTATCTGATGCATAACTTGACACGTTCACATTGGTTGATGATTTTTCTTTTATTAAATTAGCAAATTTTTGTTTTGCTGTCATATTATTATTCATTGTTAAACGTCGAACATTTTTCTCTGGATGTAAATATATAATGTATAATTTAGGAATGAATAAACAGCACAACATAACACTTGCACTTAAATTGACAGATATACACAAAGTTGCTATTTGAATCTGTATTAGAAGAACAGAGAAATCAAATTAAAGGGAAAGGAGATAAACAAACTGAAATGCAGAAATATATATATACATATATATATATATATATATATATATATATATATTTAAAGCGGTAAATTTGATATATCACGTTTCATAACCTTTGTAATAAAATTAATTTTCTGATTTATTCATCCTACAAAACTGTTGTGATTGATGAAAGTCATTTTGTAATTTCAATTTTTTCGTGATGATATTTTGAATATTTTAGAATATTATATGTTATCAATTAGACACTTATAACCTAATAAATTATTTTTTAAAATATATATTTGTTATTCTCCTCATTAAATAGCTGAAATAAATGTTATTATTACAATGATTTATAAAAAAACAAAGGGTTTTATATACCTTGATTTATTTTCTGTAAATATTTCAAAGTTTGATTACGTATATATTAGTGGTAATATTTAGACATCAATAGATTGTGATATTAGTTCTCCTGGTGGTTGACTGATTCCACAGCGTGTTTGAGTGAAGGATATGAATTAGTGAAAATAGCCTTCTCTAGTTATGAGACAAAATTTCAGTATTCCAAAGTTAATTTTTAATTTTACTCACTTTAAAATAATAATACACAAATTGGTTGATGTCATAATTGCATTATGGGGTTGTGGAGATTGTTGAGTTGCTTTTTGAAATCATGAATTGATCAAAGTTAAACCATCATTAGAAACCTGGGAGCACTGGACGGCCGTTTCGTCCTGGTTTGGGACTTGCCAGCAGTGCGCACCCAAGACTCTTGCGCTTCGCAGGATTCGAACCTTGGACATTCAGTTTTGCGCGAGAATGCCTAATCTCTGGACTACTGTCCAGTGCTTCCAGGTTTCTACTGGTGGTCTAACATTGATCGATTTATGATTTCAAAAAATAACCCAACAATCTCCACAACCTCATAATGCAATTTACCTAGGCTCACTAGTGACTAGCTCCGTGGGGAATCGTCTCCGACTTCTAGTGAGAAGTCGTGATCAGTGGATTTCAACCCTGTTTTGGTGGCAAACAGTGCTCGCCGAAGACAGTGTATGAGGTTATGATAGATACGGGTTTAGTGGTCCAGAGAATAGGCGTTCGTGCTGAAGACCAAAGGTCGTGGGTCGGAATCCTGTGAGGTATAGGAGACTTGGATGCGCATTGTTGGTGAGTCCCAAACCGGGATTCTAATGGTGTTCTAACACTGATCAGTTCATGATTTCAAAAAGATGTCATCATAAATGGTAAATTTATTTTTCATCAGCTTCATATCAATTACTGTAGAATGTCTATACGACAAGATTTTCACGGACTTAATTTTAGACATAAATGGAAATGATTTGACTGATTAACTCTAAACGGAGTTTTAGATTTGATGAACTTACTATAAGATGATCTAAATTATAGATGATTTTATCTACAATTAAAATATACTAACGCTGGATAGATTTGATTGAATATGTTATGAATAAAGAATAAGCATCAGTTTCAATATTTTTGTATTGATTATATAAAAATAGAAATAGAAATGAAAATAATAACATAAAATCATATGCTTTCTGAAATCACTCCAAAGTAATGAAAGGTTAACAGTCGAAATCATTTTTTAGCATCAATAAATTAAATGGATCTAAAGTGTTTAATTTATAGTTTTCTTTTTAACTTAACTAATGGATTAAATAATGACAGAAATTAATAAACTATCTATCTTGTTAATTGTTTATATTCAATGAAATATGCTCATATCAGAAATTAAACATTTTAAATATTGTTAAACCATATCAAATTTTTTGTCCTGCTTATGATCATATAACACAATTTTTGAAGCTTTTAAATAAACTACTCATAAAACAAGTTAAAAGTTGTTTTAATGCTGGACAAAATGATATTTTGAACGGAAATGTTTACATCCAACTGGCAATTTTAGTAAAAACTAAAATGGACTATATTTATTATCATAAGAATTGAATTATGAACAAAAATAGAAATGAAACTCCATGAATTGAAAAATTAGGTATATATATATATATATATATATATATATATATATATATATATATATATATAGATGTATGCTGAATAACTGAGAGAAAAATCTACTAATTATTTGAGTGTTTCAAAAAATTCATTACTGAAGAAATTTAGTTAATGAACTTATTCAAAAACTTTATGTAAATTTTTAACTTAATTTATAGTCAAGATACTTATTTTTACCAGATGATCTCATTATAATTTGTGAAATTTAATTGGGTGCTGCTAAAGGGTGAGATTTTATACGAGAATAACTCTAAAAAAAAATGAATGATTTCATTGTAAGCATAATTTACTAATGAATTTTATTAAAAAAAAACTTTCAGAAACAATGACATCAAATTAGGATAGTAAATTTAACCATCTGTTAACTTGTTTAAATAACAACTGTAATTTTCATTAGTTTCAAAATGAGATATTCACAATTTCCAACATCTTGCCATCATGAAATCTTGAACTAATTAATGATAGACCATCATTGAGAAACATTTGGCACTAGACGGTCGTTTTGTCCTGACAAGAAACTCTTTAGTAGGTGCGTATCCATGACTTCACACGCCGGGACATCAAACTTAGGATCTTCGGTATCGCGCATGAAAGCTTTACTTCTATACCCTTGAACTGGAACTCATCAGTTCTCACGTCTAACTTTAATGAATCATGTGCTCATTAATGACCAGCTACGCAAGAAAGTCCTCCAAGTACTAGTTAAAAGCTGTGACCAGCAAAGTTCACTCGTTTTGTGTGTGAAGAAGTAACCCACTGAAGACAATGGATGAGGTCACAAAATATCATGGATTGATGGAGATTGAACGTTGACCCTGTTGGAAGCCGGCTCAGTGGTTTACACGTTGAGTGTTTTTGGACTCGTTCCTCGCTTGTGGGGTTTTTGATGAGCGTTGCTGATGAGTCCTAAACTGGGATATAACCGCCATTCAGTGCTGATAGTTTCTTGATAGTGGTCTTATGTTCATTGACTTGTGGTTTCGATAAAACTCAAGAATTTTCACAAATTCAGATTGATACTATAAATTTAACATTTTATACTTCTGTCCTAAAATATATTTATTCAGCATAAGGTATTACAAGTATTCAAAAAAAGTAGATGATAGTTTCGATTTCAAGAAGTTCATGTGTTTTTTACGTGGTTTCTTCTACCTTCGTGAATGCACTCATCTATGTTCCGTTCTGATTAATAAAAATGCTTGATCTTATTTTCCACTTACTAATATCGAGTCTGTAACATGTTTATTCTCATACACATACTCTATCGATTAAGCTATTTACTGTTTAATGTTTTAAGTCAATATAGAGAAAAAGAACTTTTATTCAAGATAACTTTGAATTAAAGTCCCAAATGTAACCTCAGTCAGACTAATATTGATTTGTTGACAAGTTCATCATCATTCAATAGCAAACACTGAATTATGCACTCACGAAAATGATAGATGTTCTGATCAATTACAAGTATCTTCATAAAAAATATTTTATCGATTTTAACATTTATTTATTGTAAATTAATTATTCGTAACGAAAATTCAATTGACACTTGTTGTGATCATTAAAAGATAGAGTATAATATGATTTAATATCAGTAACAACAATAATTTTTTGTATTCAGAATAAATCTATTTAGCTAGAAATTAGAGACGAGTAATGTGTTATGATAAATAATCTCTAATACTAATAGTGTTTATAGAATGATATCAACATTTTTTCAGAATAATAAAATTGATTTAGATTTAGATATACCATTCAAGATAAACACATCAACGTTATTTTATTGAAATAAATTTGTGATAAATATTCAAATATTATGTCAGAAACACTTCAATAGTAATGCTTATCTAATTGTAACAGTCTGATAGATTGTAAATTGTTAAAATGGTAGTAACTTTATCGATCCAACTTAAGGTTGATTTATGAATGAGTAGTAACAAAGAGCAAAAACTTTGATCTGGACCAGAAAATGAAGTTACTTGAACAGTCAGTTATTGCCTAACCAATGAAATGTATATAATTGTTAATATTTTTCAATGAAATTTGAAATCTTGAAGATACACACAATGTTTGAAGGAGTATTATTGCAGGTATAAATTTTAAAAAGGCTCCCGTCCGCGTGAAACTATAATTAAGAAGCTTAGCTTGTGAATATTGCTTTTGTATTATCAAACGAAAACTCCTAATCAAGTAGAACGCCGCTGTACGAGTCAATTATTTTATTAGCTGTTAGGATGGGACAAAAACAAAAGAGATCACGTCTTGATTCAGTGAAACCCTTGTTCAAAATCAATTTTTTTTTCAATTCAGTGTGATATTTTTATTCAGTAGAACATTCATTTTATTTTGAACTGATCTTTTTTTGGTAATAATCCTCTTTGAATTGATTTGTTGTAACCTTCATGCATAAAATATAACATACGGTTTGTAATTTTTCTCTGTAATATTGATTTATAAATCACTACAATTCCATAAAATGCAGGTAACCATGATGTTTTAATCAGTAAATTCGCTTAAACTGATCTTTTCAATTTTAGATGATGAATAGCATGTCTTATTGTCATCAGAGTTTTTATTCTTGAATGTTGTGGTGACGATGCCACACTAGAGTTTTGCTTAGTGACTAGAAAATGTGCAAAATATTAGTTAATTTTTTTGGGAAGTGAATTTCACTAGCCCAAATCAATGTTGAACAGCGCTTCAAAAATATTTTGCATAAAATATTTACCCTGAAAATGTTATCACTTGCAATAAGATTATTGTAATCCTTTTCTCATCCTATGAGTCTTGCTAGTCTAGTGATTTGATCGAAAATTCTTTCAGTGGTTATCAACATTTGCAATTGAAAATTTAGGTATTCTGATAGAATCGTTTAGTAAACTGAAATTATTTGCTGGAAAATATCTACTATTATTCGTTTCACCATCTTTTCTGTTCTCCTCAAATGTTTA